TGCTGTAATCTTTTTCCACACTGCAGTACTTAGCTTGCAAAAATGTGGTAATTACCAGCTCTGAGACAGGTCAAGTTATTTAAATCTTCCCCAATGCAGTTCTCACCCTCCCCTCTCCAGAAAAACGTAACACTTTAAAACTCTTCAGATATTGTGAAATGTTGGGAATTCAGATCTCTTCCCATATCCCTGAACTAACCCCTCAAGGACTCAGGAGATTCTGTTCCTCCACCCTTGGGCCCATAGTTCCCTCCCATGTCAGAGTTCCAACTGAGACCTAGTGCTCGGGGACTAGGGAGTGCTGCCAACAGGAAACATCTGATTTCCAGCACTTTTATTCCACAGCTTTCATGGAGAGGCTACATAGTTAGCAGCACCTTAAATCTGGGCAGGAGACCAAAGAATAAAGTTAGGTAGCTGTTCATATCACTATCTGTTTGACATCCCATATGCCTAAAAATCAAATCCATCACTGGTCTCTTCCTCTTGTGCTTGAGCAGCAGACAGACCTACGGCACTCCCATACTCTATCACAGGAGCTTTGGCCACTGATAGTCCAGTTTTGATCTGCTTTAAGAGAAATAACTTGGGATGAGGACTCTTGTTCCACAGCACATTTACAAGTAGGGGTTTAAAAGAAGCCTTCACGTAACAGAACTTTTCTGATATGAACTTAACCTATCTTCTCTGACTTCATATTTTCTTCCCCTACAATGGAATATGCAGCAGGGGTCAACAGTCCTGCTTGTGCTGTTGGTCTGGCTAAGTCTGAAGTGCAATCTCTGAACTCCAGTTAGAACAGACTCTGACTAAAGCATGAGTCACCTCCCCAAGGGATACCAGTCTGCAGATTTTTCCTTAAGACAAACAGCATGATGCAAAACAAGAAACTGCAAGTGACAGGAGACAAAGGTAGGGTGACAGATTTCGAGGCAATACCCTCCCCTCTTTTTTGCAATGACTATTTGTCCTGCTTGAAAGGTCAGCATTTGATTGATTCATCAGTATTGATCCATATGAGAGCACAAGACAAATCAGACACTGAGCTTGCATAAATCTTACTCCTGGAACAAGCACAGACATCCAGCCAAAAGTAGCCCATCCTGGATTACAGCAGAGCATCTCACAGCCAAAACTGATGCAAGCATTCCACCTTTAAAAAATTATTAGACCACTTAAATAACTGAAAGTGTTCCTGGAATACTCTGCACATACTAGGATCTCTTTGAATCAAAAGTGGCCCTGAGAGGCCTAGCTTTAAATTAATGCTCCTTGAAACAAGGATGGTGTCAGATGTCTGTATTTGTGATGAAACCAGACAGAGTAGGCAAGGTAGATGACATTTCAGAGAGCTTCTATAGAGATTAATCTTGCAAAGTAATATTCATTCAGTTATGCCATACTTGTGCATCTGATTCAAGTACCACTCTGTTTTGGATGGCTAAATGATTAATTTTCTTTTTTATGCCCTGCAGGAAGAACAGATGGCACAGTCAGCACACTGGATGTTTAATAGACAGTGATAAAACAAAGGCTGGCATCAAGTTTCAAAATTAAGTTTCGATAACTGTTCCCCACAGTATATTTAAAATTAAGATACGATAACTGAAACCAACTTCCATTCATGACAGTGTCTTTTCTTTCTTGAAAGGAAAATTCAGACCTACATTCATATTGACTATGAATCCCTCCAAGATAACTTGCTTTGCAAATAGCACAGAAATGGTATCCATTTCTTCTTTGCTTATGTGAGGAATACTTGAAACACACTTTCCCAATTAGACAAGCTCTTCCATACACCTTAAAAATGCTTGGTATTTCTTAAAAAACTATTTTCTCCTAATATGAGGAAGAGTTACAAAATTGGAAAAGTTATATTTAAAACAGGCTATAGCATTGTTTAGTTGAGATATCATTCAGTTAAACTTAGTGTCTTAAAAAAATTACATATTTAAAATGTTGGTGCCATAAAAGACCTCCATCTTTAAAAAGGAAGTAAAAAAGTATCTGAGTTGAAACCCATTTCTTAACCTGCTAACAATGAGTTCAAGACAGATTACCTGATTTTCAGGGTTTTCTACAAAGTTAATCTTTATATTTAAGCTTTTGAAAAGATGGTAAATTTGGAAAAAATAGCGAAGAGGATTTCATGGGCAGTACACCTGGCACAAAACTTAACTGAAGTTTTAGAGCAGCTTGCTGCGACCATGTGTTGTTAATGATCGAAGTTCAATGGTAACAAAAAAAACCTCCAAAGTATTTGTGGTCATTTGGTCATCCAAACTTAACACTGTTAATGAAATGAACTCTGAAATGAAAAGTAGATACAAAAACCTGTTAGCATAATTTTCTTTGCTTCATAGAGGATTTTGTTATGCAGAAGTTCTGAACATTGTGGCAACGAAGGGCTCATAAATCAGAGTAAAACATGAAAAGAATCTTTTATCTTGCCTGAATCTAGTTTATAAACCACATACTACATCCATGATTTACTTATTCTAAGGCCTCCATTTCATGCAATTTCACATTCCAAACATTAGGACCTCCATAAAACAACTGTTCTGTCATCTCAATTCCAGAGCACAGCAAAGCTTTCCTCAAACAAGGATGTCCCTTACATTGGTTTATTCTTATGAAAAGCACAGTAGAAATTCTTCACAAAGTACCAGTGAGCAGCCTTAAACATGTATTTGACACAGAAAAGCAACAATGTTTTAAATTAAGTTTTAAAATTAACCTTATTTTTAAGAAAAAATTATATTAGATTAGTCTGCTCTCAAGGCCATTCAGAGATATGATTTGAATGGATAAAAAACACCTGCTCTGTGGGTGTGGAGTCTGTCATATCATGTCTCCCCATGCTAATTACCATTTAAAAACTCTCTTCAGCCAGTTTAAACTATAAAACACCAAGACTGAAAATAAAACAAACCAAACTGGCTAATCTCAATCTAATTTACCTGAATCCAAATAGGTGGAACTGTAATTTTCTATGTCTGTGCCTAATCTACTGTTGTCATTGTTAGTGCAGGTTCCTGTAAGTTTTTATAAATGAAAAAAAAAAATTACTTGATTTCTAGAAGCATGGCACAAATTTCTAGTTTCCCTGTATTGTCAGAGATACTAGGAAAAAACCCCAGTGATTTACTGTAGTTTCCACAGGATTCTACAATTTCCTTCCCAGTTTGGTTAAAACTACTGCTGTACCAGCCACCCACCATGGCTGAGTGGACAGCTGGTGACTGAAATGCTATCTATGCTGCAACTGCAATTGCAGCTGTCATCACCTTTATTGAGTTGGTCAAATGTAATCAAGCCCTTACCCAATGTGCATTAATGCTGTCCTCCATGCTAGGCTACTTATTCTTCCCCACACAAACTGACCATTAATTTGAGAACCTCCTGCAACTGGTAGTTTTCTGTGTAGGAACTCAACACAGATGAGCATCTTGACTTCACAGTTCTGGCAGATTCTTTCTGTGGTTTGCACATATTTGGTGCCTTATCCTGGAATTCTAATGCAGTCTCAATACACTGTCACTTCCCTCCCTTCCCCTACATACGAGCTAGAGTCATTGCCCAACAACACATCTTTTAGGGACATAAATTAATATTCATTTGACTTCAGTCCTCATCATTAAGGTCTGTCCTTCAGTGCTGGGGTACAAGTGTCTGGTGCTCTGTTAAAGCACCTGAAAATCATGGAATTATGATTGTAATCATATTTTGCTGTATGAGCAAAGCACCTGAAAATTAGAAAACCTTGGAATCATTTAGGGTGGAAAAGACCTTTAAGATCATCAAGTCCTGCCATCAACCTAGCACTGCCAAGTGCAGCACTAAAACATGTCCCTAAGCATTGGATCCACATGTCTTTTAAATATCTCTGGGGATGGGGACTCCACCATTTCCCTGGGCAGCCTGTTCCAATGCTTGACCACCTTTTCAGTGAAGGAATTTTCCCTAACATCCAATCTATGATGCAACTTGAGGCCATTTTCTCTTGTCCTGTTGCTTATTACTTGGGAAAAGAAACTGATCTCCACTTGGCTACACCCTCCTTTCAGGCAGTTGTAGAGAATGATAAGGTCTCCCCTGAGTCTCCTTTTCTCCATGGCAAACAAACACCGCTGCTCTTCATAAAACTTGTCCAGAGCATTCGCCAGCTCAATTGCCCCTTTCAGGACATGCTGCAGCACCTCAATGTTTTCTTGTAGTAAGGGGCCCAAAATCCTGGACACAGGATTCAAGGTGTGTCCTTATCAGTCCTGAGTACAGAGGGGCAGTCACTGCCCTGGTCTTGCTGGTCACATTATTTCTGATACAAGCGTGGAATTACTGGCAAGCCTTATGAACCAGAATCTGTACTCTAAAATCTGTATTCTAAGTTCTTTTATTACCAAGCCAGTAACACAGAGGACCACTAGGACATTCCACTTGCACATTTAGTAGTTATATTACTAAACAAGTCCCATTAATATAATAATATTTTTTCTCCTAAATAAACAAAGGTTTTTCTTGATGTTATTTTTAAGAAACTGTTGTCCTTAACTTCAAATAAGTGCTATTCCTTCAGAGAGAGAACACTGCAAGAATCCTAGGGACATGAACGGCTCTAGTTTGATAACATTTTCTCCCCCCTTTGCCTTCCCTTACAATGCAGTGTTATTCAGTGCTTTTCACTCTCTTACTGCTGTGCTACCTCCTGCACTAGGTTGCAATAACTATTGCAATAACTATCAAGGCAAATTAGAATAAAAAAAAACACACACAAAAATATTTCTTTAGATACCTGGGGCAGAGTAACTTTTTTTAATGCTTTTACTTATATCAGTTCTATAATCAAGTAATTCAGATCAAAAAGCAATTGCAGCATCCCAGCCAAAACAATGTCCCAGCACTGGAAGTGAGGAGCTAAGAAGCTTGAGTTAGGGTGCACTATACCTTGGGATTCTCTCCTCCCAGCAAAGGATTTATGAAGAGAGGTGAAGCACAATAAAAGCTAGACAATTCTATTTTCAAGTACTTAAAGTACTTGAAAACAGATCCTGACTAAAGCAGATCTCAGGCTTAGTAACTTTACAGACTAGTTCCTTTTCAGATCTATTCAGCAGACTACTCAAAATCCTGCTAGCTAAAAAAAAAAATAAATATTCAAAAGCAGTTGGAAATTTTATTATTACTACTGTAAAATCTAGATTTTAAAGATAACAATGAAAATGCTAGAACTAAATCTTGTTTCCTGCGTGCATTTCTTTTGAAGCCTGTAGAAGATACTGTGGTAGCAAAATGAAAGCATTGTTTGTGTAATAGTTTTAGTGCTACCCTGAAAGCAAAACCAAATCACAAATCTACTCAAACATGCAGCCATAGTAACCATTGGCAAAGTCTCAGGAAAGCATTCTTTCATCATGCCTATAGACCTGACATTTTAAATGAAATTTTAAAAGAAATACCAATAAAAAATTTGCTGTTAGATCTGTGGAGTTTCTTTGGAACAGCGGGGAAAAAAAAATCTATGACCATAGCAGTTTATAACTATGGCTAATCGAAAAGAGTAAAATCACTCTGTTATATATGCAGTTGCCAGGTGGTCATGGAGTGCAGAGCTCCCCTTTGGAAAGCTTCAAGGCAGCAAAGGCCACAAATGCAACCTGCAAGCTCTAACCACAGTTTGTACAGAATGACTTTCTATGAAGTATTTTCTTACTCTCACTGTGAGGACGGGTATTTCTACTTGACATCCACAGGGCAGTGTTACCAAAACCATCCATGTGTATGAGACCAGTACCCCTGCTCCTGACCCTGTATTATGTGGTTAGCATAACCAATGCCATTCTGTAAGCCAAGCAGCCTCTCTCTTTAACCAAGTAGGTGATGTATTTGTTCACATCCCCCCATTATCAGGCCCCAAAGGTCCAGTGATCCAAGCAGACAAACCAAAGATTTTTTTCTTCCCCTCCCCACCTGCCTCAAGGTTGCTGGGCGCCGGGGTAATTACTCCCATTCCTGCCAGCCCTGGAGGCCCCAGGCACCCGGCCAGTGAGGTGCTGTTATTGATCCTGAGGGAAGCCTAACAGCACACAGAGCTGTAATTGTAAATTAGGTTGTATCATAAGCTTGAGTTAGGGCACAACTGTAATGGCAAGTTAAGTTGTATTTTAAATGCAATATTAGGCTACTTCTAAATTGGATTACTTTGATTCTGCTTCTAGAAGTCCAGTGCCATTATAGCAATAAATTATTTGATATATTGATTATAATAGGCTGCTAAGAAAATAAAGCTTTGTTACTACAGATTATTATCATCATCATCATCATCATCCTGCCTAAGATCCCTAAAAGATCCCCTTATCACCATTGAGTGACACAAGCATAAATATCTTAGGACCGAGTACATATATATACACACACACTGAATTCAGTGGGAATGTCCAGTTCTTAATGGAGTCTTCTCTGCCTGGACCAGACACCTTTCTTTAAGACTCAAGGGACCACAGACCAGTCGCATCCTATACCACACATGTTCTACAAGTTCAGCGCCTTTCCCCACATGCCAGTGTAGGAAGTGAACAAAGTGTTCCATACTATCAGCCTCAGAAGTTATCAAGGACACAGTCTCTACTATAGCTCAATCAGCTCAGCTCCCCTGGAAAATACTGTTTTCACTATCAGTGTAGAATAAGAAAAAGACAACAAGACTTTCCTCTCTTTGAAAGATGCAGGCTCACTCTGGAAAAGCTACTGTCACCTCAGTAATATACCAGTCCCCATCCTGTCCCAAGCTGCCAAATCAGTTATGGTAACAGCTGAGCTTTCCAGATTTAGGGTGTGTTCATTGTAGGACTGCAGCTTCTGACTCATCCTCACTGGCAGGACAGCTGGAGAGGTTAAAGACATCTGACACAAGCATTTTGAGTCACCCCACTATCTAAAGGGTAAAAATCAGCATGATTTGAATCAGGAGTCTAATCCTTTAAATACACATTTGAGATAACTCATGTAAGCCATCATTGCTATAATTATTAACTAGCACAAGGGTTTGAAGAAAAGGCTGCATCATAGAAGAAATTAATATAAAAGCAGTGAGATAGGTGGACATGCATTTTCAAAAAAGCTTGGTTAACCCACCAAGATTTGGATACTGACATGCCAGAAGTGATATATTATGCATAGGTATTAAACACTTATTTTCCTGAGCATTCTTACAGAGACAATCCAAATGTGGATGCAACGCTCATTTGAGTGTTGAAGGGTCCTAACATGGTATCTGCTGTGGTGATCCAGATGAAGTAGCATCAGTTCTGCTTGTTCTTCCTTTCTTGATGTAATCTAGGTTTGTGCCAGTGACATGGTGCTCTGCTCATCTCTGAACAGCTGTTGATGAGAACAATACCAGTGCAAAGCTGTTTATACTGACTCAAACATGTACAGAATTCTCACTTCAAAACCTTTTCTACTATGAGGGAGAAGGAACTGTGTTTGAAGGCACTGATACTAAATACATAACTTTTTACTACATACAGGACTGTGGGCATTTGCAGCTCTCTTTAGATACAGGTCTGGATCTGGTAAAGAATACAGAGACATTGCATTGAATCAACTGCTTACTCAAGACTTTTTTTTTTTAAAGACAGGCATAGACATTGTCAGACAACACAGATTTAACTACAGTATTACTGAATTACACATCTCATGTTTTGTTGCTGCATAAACAAGTAAAGGACCAACTCTTAATTTATGGATTAAAGATTTATGGCAACAGGCAGAGGCTGACAAGCACTGTATATGCCTGGCCAGTCCTGTTTATTATTTTATCTATTTTCTAAAGGGAAAGCTTCCTAGGGCAAGCTGTCAGAGCAATGGTAAAAATGGAAAGAGCCATTACATCTAGCCCTACCACCTGTTTTCCTTTTCCACTGTGGGATCACAAGATCTATGACTGTTGCTTAAAAGCAGTTTAAGTTCAAGGCTCCAGCAGTAGAAGCATTACTCCTAAAGTATGCTCAGAAATCCTAGGGAGCCTGCTGCAAAAAACTGCAGTTTGTGAACTGCAGGTGGCTGTTTGTTAGTATTTTTAGATCAATAATTACTGAGGTAAAGCAAGAAGTAGCAACCTCTGCTGCTTTGTAAATATACAGTGCTTTATATCACAACACTGCAGAATAATAGTTTTGTTTTGGATGAAGATTATCAAGTGAAAATCACTCGCCTCTCAGAAAATATAACTTGCTAGCTGAACAGGAATATATCCTCCTGTAGGCTCCTTCATTTCCTAATGTCTTGGAAAACTAATTCATATACTCCCTAAGTCTGAGACAACACATTTCATGCTGCTTGCCCTAATCACAAATAAACTTTAGCTTTTTGCTTTCCACAAAACCCAAGTCATTTTACCACCAAAAAAAAAAAAAATTCCCTCCAAAGACACACTCAACAACTATCATAAATGCTGATTTTAGATTAAATGTTTCCAGAGAAGATTTTTATTAAAATAGAGGGTGCTCAGTTTTGCAGTAGTAGTAGAATGTGTTTGGGCACAACAGACGACAAAATTTTTTGTTTGATTTTTATTGTTAATGACTGAACACAACATTATGTTAGCATCATCAGTGTATGTACTCTAAAAACATTTATAGGCAGATGAACTGCAAGGAATGTGACCAAGGAAAGCCAGCTCATGCTGTAGGGTGGAACAGATAGTTCTAGCATACTAAAAATAAAAATAAAGCATTAACACACCATGTGCTGTGCAACCCCAAATTATTTAGAAGTGTTCCAATAAAAAGTAACCATGACAAAAGTTCAGACCTACTGAAAAACCAACCAAAAGAGGTTGAAGCTAGACACATGCCTCATTGCAAAAAATAAGCAGAAGTTTTACTAACTTAGTTGATTTCATTTCTGTGATTTTATGCAAACTTTAGGATAATATTCATCCAGTCATAGAGGTTTTCTTGGTGACATGATTAGTAGCCATGCCAGGCAGGAATTGAAGTGCAAGTGATGAGGCAAATTTTGGGTTGTACACAGCCCACAGCTGTGTTTTTTCTTAAATGAGTGACTTGTCTTGAACCTCAGTTGTAGTAACTTCTTATGGAGTGAGTTCCATTTTAAACCCCTATTTTCATGTTGCTGTGCTAATGCACATTCTCTCTCAAACTGGATGAGCAAAGGTGTAAAAAAGGAAAGAGTTATTCACTAAAACAAAGGATCTTGTTAGTAAATCAAGTTATTTGATATCACAGAATCATGTAATTTCAACTATATTTCAATTTTTCAGCATTTTTGGAAGCCACAAGCAACATGGATGTCTCTGTGTGCATACACAGTAAATAGTCAAGAAATTATGTTTTTACATAACTTTTTACTGAAAATAGGAACCAGAACTGGATTATTTCTTAGAATGTTTCAGCTAATGATCTTGCAGTCAAGGAGAGGCCTAAGGAGACTTAGGAGAGGTAAATCTTTTAAACAACAGAAACACTTCAAACCACAGTAGACAACAAACACAGTAGACAAATTCTACTGACCATAGTAGCAGGGAAGTGGGTGAAATAATTTAATGACACCACAGCCTTGTGTAAATCTTGATCTGCTTTTCGGTTTGTGTATAAAGTGGTGGCAGTTTCCTATACCCTGCAGCAGAGATGTGAAATCAGTTAGTCACACCGAGTTCCTCAGAACTGGCAGCAAGCTTCTCAATCTCAGCCTTCTTGAAGTGCTCCCTCATACTATTTGGGTAGCCAGCTCCAGGAGCATACACACTGCAATCACTACATTTTCTTAAGCTTTTGTTCTGTTCTCTTGGAGTCAAAACATGGTGGTCTGCCTATTAACTTATTTGGTATTTTGCTTTCTAGCAAAGAATTTAAAACATGGCATCAAAACAGGACACATTTGCTCAACAACTTCTCAACACCAGCCCACCAGAAAACATGGAGGAAAACACAATCCACTTAGTCCATATTAAAAAGCTTCATTAAATTACAATTCTGCATAACCTGACATCAACAAAAACATAGATTTTGTTGTCAAAGATTAAAACACATATGCATATTCTAGAAAGGCAACTTTAAACCAAAAAGATACCTGGTTCAAATTTGTCAGATTTTGCCTGACAGGTCTCAAGTATTACTGAGCTGTCTGAAAGAACAGTAGTTGATTCAAAACAGCAACAACTTCACATCTTTTGTTTTGTTCAAGAAGGTGTATCTCATTAGCATATCAGATGGTAGTCCCAGAGTCCACAATGTAGCTTCATTCTGGCATATCCATATGCTGAAAACTACTCAAATTCCCTGTTAAGAGCCTATCTAGAATAGCTGTTCTTAACAGAGAAGTTGCACTAACAACTGGCACTTGCATTCCTTGGGTAGGGAGCCAAAAAAATCCCATTCCCACCTCAGACCAGCACTGAACCCAAGCTGCCATTCTGAGGCCTTTACTTTTGTACATTGCAGAACTCCACACTCAACAGCAAGAGCAAAATACATCTGGCTCATGAGTCACTTGGAGCAGCTGTTTGACCACAACAACTTACAGTGACTGAACACTTTGTCCTCACCACTGCCTGCTTCTGCCTTAACTGCACTTACAACACAAACAGAAAACCCAAACAAACAAAACCCCCTGAAATTCACTTCTCAACTCATAACCTACCAAGTTAAAATAAACAATACCCTGAGAGCCAGCAGGTCTGTAAGGAAAGTGTCTCCACAAAGACAGAAAAAGTTTCCTTCTCTCACTCTTGTTCTGTCACCAAAAGGGACTGTTCCCAGCCTCCTTAGACCTTAACAGAATTTTCAAAATCCCCATTTCTTGTTCTTAACTCACAAATAGAAAGGACAGGTAGGATTACGGAGCAGCACACCATTTTCAACATTCAAACATATAGAATATCAACCAATCCTTCCCAACACACCCTCCTGTGCCATATAATAGTCTTCCTTTCTCCTACTACTAATTTTCCCCTTTTTAGTTCAAAATCAGTTAACTCAAACCATCTGTGATCACAAGCTAAAAAATGCTGAACCAGCTGTCATGAATCAGGGCAACTTCAGCCACAGCTGAAGGCAAACAAGGTACAAGAAGGAAGGACATTAGTTCAACGTGGTTACAGAAAAGCTCTCTCCTCATTGTGACACAATGCTAAACTTCAAGACCAATCTTCTTCCTTGCTTAGCTAGATCTAAAAATTCTGATACTGTTTTCCTCCTAAAATTAAATGCACTGCGCTTACTCCTCAGCTGTCCTTTTCTGTGTTTGAGATGTGTCTGCTCAACTCTTGGTATGATCAAGACCACCAACTCCAGCTTCAGCTTTGTTTCTGCTTCCTGTCCCATCACGTTAATTTTCCAGACTCTGAAAGGAAAAAAATAGGCATCTCAGTGGTTACTTTTTTGGCAAAAAAACCCCAACAAAACAGAAACAAACAAAAAAATCCCAGCCCCAGACTTTTTTCTATACCAGGCTGCAGTTTAATTTGAAACAATTAAATCTTTATTCAGTGTAAAGCAAAATAAAAATAAAATTTATAACTCTATGGTCCTATTTAATTTCTGTTGCAAGGAATTATCTAAATTTAACTTAGATTATACAAGGAATATGAGGAGGAGACTACTACAGTCACAAACAGGGAAATGACAGTATTGAATAACCTCTAAAATGGCCTTGTTTCAGCACTGCTAAGGGACAACAGAGAGGGGAGACCTTTGTAGAATCACAGAGTCAACTAGGTTGGAAAAGGCTTTGGGCATCATCAAGTCCAGCCTATGACCTAATGCCACTGTACCAATTAGACCATGGCACTGAGTGGTCCAGTGTTTTCTTAAACACCTTCAGGGATGGTGACTCTACCATCTCCCTGGCAGCCCATTCCAGTAGTAGGTTTGCTCTTAAGTGTAGGTATTACACAGCATATGAGGGCTTTGAACTTCATTCATTGATAAGACAGATTTGATTGATCAATATCAACAAGGATCAAGAATGGGCTTCCTAACACTGTGTTTCCAAATTCAGAAATTTGATTAATTGAGTTTACTAAAATTCCTTTTTCACAGAAAAGTAAATTTTCTGACATTTTAATCATCATCACTACATTTAACACAATACTTTTTGCCCTCAGAGTTGTTTAGTGTTTTTTTTTTTTTCCAGGAACTTTTGTAGGCAAAATATCAACCTCAATATCCAAACAGCTTGACCAGCAACAATTCAATATCTATCATGGAAAGGAACATGGTCCTCTGATGACTGCGGCTCTGAGGCCACCAATTAATTTTTCTGCTCTTTCAGCAAGGCATACTATTTTTATACAGTCCATCAAAAACCTTCTCCTCTCTGAAGACTCCAAACCCCGTTTATATCAATATTTTAATTGTATCAGAAGTTTAAAATAAAGAAATCTTTTAAAATCAAGAAAATTGATCTCTCTAATCTCAAAAAAGGATCTGGAACTTTAAAATTCAGTAGGGGAATGAGTGCTCTCAGGTGACAATCCAAATAATATGAAAAAAAAGATGTATTCATTTAATTTAAAATTTTACCCATGCTTGCTGAATTACAGCCCCTTACAACTGGTATGTAAAAGATTACATAACATTCTTTCTCGATACTTCAGAAATTAAATAGCATAGCAAGACTTTATGTAGTATATCTTTCAGGAAGTGAATATTTTCCAAATGAGTCTAATAATAAAGCTAACTCCTCAATTTCCAAATATTGAGATTACTGTGCTAACAGTATAGAATGACTACTAAAACATTTTTTTAAACTTTGAGATTCTTTGTCTCAAGACTGAACAAATGCCATTTCAACACTGCATGATATTAACTTGGATGTTTAAAAATAAAAATATTTTCAAGAACAGCAAGTTAGAATGACCATCTGTTGGTAGTAAGAATTACTATCATATGTGGCATATTTTCACAATGCTGTGATGAATATGCTTTTTCAATCAGATGCTTGACCCTGAAAAATACACAGCAGAACACATGAGAGCTGTTCCAGTTGAACATGTGATTTTTCCTTTTAATTTAAACACTCCTAACCCTTAACACTGAGACTACCCAAAAATTGCATTGGTACTATGCAGAATGGAGCAAGAGCACTCTTCTTTTTTTTCAGCATATACACTCAGTTAAATAACTGAGTTATTTAGATCCCACATTGACAATAAGAAAAGCAAACACATTGCAAACTCCATTAGCTGCATCAGTATTGTTTTAAGTGATGATAATTATTACTAAGCTAAAAAACTAATGAAAGGTAGAGCCTAGGGTCAAATGAAAAACCTCAAAGAAGAAGTATTCTTTTCTCTACATCCCTAGGAAGGATCAAGTAGAACTGATTCTATATGAATTAACTACTATGTTAATTGTAACATCTATCCATAAGCTATGAATTCAAGTGAATCTGAGCTCGAGCCATGACAGAACAAATTTGTGTTGAACATCACCATTTACTTTGGAGAAGAGCTGTAAGTTCTTAGAGTTTGTGGAGTTTGTGGAGTTACTGGCTAAGAATACAGGGAAAAAAACCAAACCAACATAAGAAATTTTATGGGAATAGAGACCAGTAGTTTTCAGCTTCTGTCTCAACTGTGCAGATCATGAATCAGTTTAAGGGACCTGCAAAGACATCTGGTGAAAACAAACTACTAATATTACAAGTGTATGTGTATGTTCTTACCTATCACTTTCATGAGCAGTGACAGGACTCGAGGAAATGACATGAAGCTGTATCAGGGGAGTTTTAGGCTGGATATCAGGGAAAGGTTCTTCACCCAGAGGGTGTCTGAGCGCTGGAACAGGCTCCTCAGGTAAGTGGTTGCAGCACCAAGCCTGGCAGAGTTCAAGTATTTGAACACTCTCAGGCACGGTGTGGCTCTTGGGGTTCCTGTGCAGGGCCAGGAGTGGGACTCAATCCTGATTGCATTTTCTGTGACTCTATGATTTCAAATTTTCCAGGAGTTCCATTCATAAGTAGGCTTGAAATAGATTTAGACATAAAATTCAAACACCACAAGGTGTTTTGTTAAAAAAAAAGGTTCTGAAAAAAGTATCTCTTATTTACAAGCATTTGTGTAGAAGTATAAATTTTAAGTCACTCAAGTAGCTATGAAGAAAATTCATGATTTGTAACCAATGACATTTTCTGTATGTAATTGCTCATCACCTTACATATTTTGCAAAAGGACTAAAACCCCACTAGCCTCACATTTAGATTACTTGAATATCAAGAGATGAAATTTCCTAAACTAGATCTGAAAAAAGAGACTGAAATTCTAAGAGAAAGACATAGGAGATATGTCTACTATAGTAGAGACACAGATAATGCCTGGCTCAAATGTTTTCAGAAAGTAAAAGTTTCACTATTGTTTTCATTTAACTGGTTGTTTTTTTTTTTGGTTTGGTTTTTTTTTGGGTTTTTTTGTGTGTGTCAGGCCAAGGGTTGGACTATAAGATTGTAACGTGATATTTTTTGTGGGGAGGGAGGGAATGTGAGTTGGAGAACAGATCACTTGCCACTCCAGTTAGTAAAAATAATTCTTCCTACATGTCAAACTCCAGATGTTCATTCATAATCAAGATAAACAACATGTCAGTTATTGTTTGCAATCGTAGGACAAAAACCTCAGAACTGTGAGGTGGCATTAACTATATTAAATTCCTCTGTCCTAACATTAAGGATAGTAACTTCCAAACCAACAAAAGAGGTATGAATCAGAAGAGTACTGATACCCAGGTAAGGATAACCTACTAGCAACTGACCAAAATTCATTTAATATATAATTTTCAAGAGCCATAATAAAAGCTGTAAGTGCTTGAAGAAGGCTACAGCTAGAGGTTTATAGATTATTTATGAGAGTAATGTAATTTCAATAACATTGAAAACACAGACATCTGACTTCTTCAGATAATCATTAGAAGACTTGAGGAGGGTTTGCACATTTTTATAGAATACTAAATGCACACAGTTTATGAAAATGTATATATTTGGGCACTACAGCTATATTTTCTGCTCTTACAAAAATAATGTTTCTCAATAGCTAATTAAATCACAGTTAAAAAACAAACCTTACATACTTAACAGCCATTAGCCTTAAATTGCTTGCAAAATAAAAAATATTGCTAATGAATCAGAGGTACTACAGGGATTGTTGACAGTACGAAAACCACCAGAGCAAAGGTGTCTTGCTGGCTCCCTCCTCTTGATCATTTTAACTATATGACATATGACAGATATGTCATATTGACACTTTTTATATACAAACACACACGTTTATAAGATAAGGAAAGACATTAAATATTAAATAATATTTATAATAATAACAACAATAATAAAATATTTATTATAATAATAAATCATTAAATAAACCAGAAATACCTCAGAATAATCAGGTATAAGTAAAGAATTATGAAGAGAAGCAATATAAACCCCCATGATATTTTACCTGTTTAATCCAAAATTTGTCTTGGAAGTCCATACAGCTGGCAAACAGGTGGACACCAGTATGCTCTTCTCTGTCAGAAGTACTTAAGTAAGCTGAACATAATCACACCATTTTAAACCATAGCAAGTTTTATATTTTATCATCCTTCTGGAGCTATGGTTGCTCACTGCCTCAACAGAGCTATGATAGCTATTGATACCTCATTTGTTTCTGCATTAAGATCAATAACTTCCTTTCCAAGGGCTTACTTTCCCTTGAAAGTTCAAGGGAAATTTTTCAGTAGATCTTAAAAAAGCCCAGCATTTACAGAAAAAAAGGTGAAGGGAAATTGGAATTTTGTAAGCAGCACTAAACTCTTTAAAAACAATCATCGAATGCTTCTTTAAAAACCTATTTACATGAAAACAGAGATCTGTGAAGATAAAACAGGGCAAATAAATTTCACTAGTTAAGCTGCTTTTGAGTGTAATAATTTTGTCAAACAGGAAATAATCTTGCACAAAGTAGATCTCATAAACAAGTTTCTAGTATGCCTCAGTAATTGAAAGGCAACAATAAATGTTGTCCCATGAAGCATTGTACTGCTGATGCACACAAATTAGTTTTTAAACAAACATGACATGATGATAGATTAGACCTGCTTATACCTGAAATATGGATGACCTTTAGATTCCCAGAGTTATAAATCTGGGTCTCACTTACTAAAACCATGCTCTAAATTGAGGGTGAAACATGCTAGAGGCACTGCAAAATTTTGCATTTCAATTTAGACACATTTTGTTTCCCAATTTACTTACGATTCACATTGATTAAAGAGGACTTTACGTCTTGAATGTAAAACCCGCTAGACCTGAAAAGAAAGGTGCATATGGCAAACAAGAGAGGAGGGAACTGGTGTGATTACATAGAAAAGCATGTTTGCTCAGTCTCAGTAATGGTTGCCATGTTGCTGTACATTTAGACCATGAAGGCTGCAAGTCAGGCAGTGTTTCTATGGAGAGGTAATTCCTTTTAATAGATTAACTAATATAGCTGGAAGAGAGACTTGATGAGCGTCTGGGCACATAAGCCTTCTGAGGTCACCATGTGACCAAAAGCTTGTGTGGCACCCTATCCCATTATAAACCCGTGTAACAAAAGACAACTACCTCCCTCCACAAACCTCAACTGATACATATCATTTAACACACTTAGTCTCTGCAAAGAGATGATAGTGAAAAATCAGGATACTGGTTTAGCAAGATTCATGTACCTTCATAATGCAGAATCTCTCAAGAGTGTTACAGCACTTCATCAAAATGCCATGTGCAGCAAAAAATCTAGGCCAAACAAAGCCTTGATATATCAGAAAGCATTACATTTTTGGAAACTCCCTGAACTGGGAAAGCAACACCCTTACATGCTTATCCTAATTTTATAATGCAATTCTGTGGAAAAAGGCAGCAGGAAGAAATTGAATCCCTGGGGACAGGGAAGAACTTCATTATCACACTGGTATTTAATAAAAGAAATTCCTGTATTACAGGGACTCTTTTTTTTAGAAAACAGGAAGCAACGTGGGAGAAGAAGTTAGCCAAAAATCATCATGAACAGATGAAAGGGTATGGTATTTCACCTGAAGGAGCAGAAATTATGTACGTCCAAGGTACTGACACTGACTGTTTCCTGAACTAGCTTTAAAGATCAACTCTTCAAGAAAGTGTTCAAAACCTGTGGAAAGGTCTCAGTCCTCAGCTGTCTCTTTGTCTCTCACCACTAAGGGTTCTCCAAGAAAAAAAGTTGTATAAGAACATGCTAGGCAATTTAGGTTCCCCAACTTTCTTTTGCAATACAAGATACAAAATTCTGCATAAGAAATGGATTCTCATGGATCAGTTGCACATCTATGAGAATGATTTAGCTCTGAGTAACTCTGCAACAGGCATAGGGCACTCCAGGCATGCTACATTTCAGCCACCTTCAGGCATCTAAAAAGATGACATCTAAGCTAATGAATCCAGATTCAGGAAGCTGTGAACATCTAAAAAGTAATTTATTGCATACTGGAAGAAGGTGACTTTAGAGATATAATTTTCAAGTTAGAGTTCCTCAGTTTAACAGTTAGATTATCTCTTACCTACCCTGCTGAAAGAAAATTATTACTAAGTTGGTTAGCATTGGGATCCTAAAGATGTTATTCAGGAATGTGGTTCAACATTGGTAAAAAAGGGCAGTGTTTTACATAAGTCAGATGCAGTGGCACAGCCTATGAAATGTGGTACACAGCAAGCTGTTAGCTATCCCATTTCATTAGCAGATCAGTCCAATCCCATTAAGCAGACCCCTGTGACAACCAACAGATGTGCAGTTTTATAATGAGATAGATTTCCAGAGAAAAACTTGAATTACTGTCTTCCAGCAGTAATCAAACATACAAGGATTTTGACTGTTGAGGATGGTGGTAGAGAAAACAAATAACCTCCCACCTATAAACCAAGAAAGAACACAGCTTTGATAAATGACAGCTTTACAAAGATTTAACGTACTGTTTTAATGATCAAACTGTAGAATCCATCACATTGTGCTCTCCTTAAACCTGATGAACTAATGCCTTGTCAATCTCCTCTAGATCATGCTTACCAATTTCTATGCAAGATAAAAGTCCCTAAAACAACCAAAATGGTTGTTCCCACTGAATAAAAGCAGTGGGAAAGAGACAAAACAAATGCTTAACAACTTATTTTATTGAGTACCTCCGTCACATTCTCAAAAGGTTCATGGAAAGGAAAGCACATATCTGTGACCAATATCCCCCGCTGTGGTTAGCCTAACATTTTGTAAGTCAAGCCACCACTCTCTGTGTCTGAGCAGAGAATTCATTCCCTTCCCCCCATTATCAGGTCCTGAAGGTCCAGTGAGCCAAGCAGACAAACCTAAGAGATTTCTTTTTCCCCTCCCCACCCACCTCAAGGTTGCAGGGCGCCAGGACAATTACTCCCTTCCCTGCCAGCCCTGGAGGCCCCAGGCACCCGGCCAGCGAGGTGCTGTTGTTGACTCTGAGGGAAGCCTAACATCACACAGAGCTGTAAAAGTCTATACACAATAAAAAGGTAAAAGTCTGCACACAGTCTCTAAAATCACAAGTCCTGAGTGGAGAACTTGGACCCACACTGCTGCTGAACTGCAAGATTCAACACCTCCCCATGACCAGGGATCCCTCCACTGTTGGAGATTTGAGGGAGTCACTTTTATTCTTGTATATGAATGTGAATCTAGATTATGATTATTATATTGTTACAGCAAACCACAAAGTAAGATCTGACTCAACCTGCAGAGGGTCCAGGTGATTAGAAATTGTAATATTAGTTGCATTGCAAATGCCGTGTTAAGCAATTATAAATTGTACGACATTGATTCTGCTTCTAGAAATCCTGTGCCATACTAATTGTAAATTTTGTTCTATACTAATCATAGTAGCCTGTGAAGAAAATGAAGTTTTAATTGTAACTACATGTTAGTGTAACTACATGTTAGTGTCATCATTATTATGTCCAGGATCCTTAAAAGAACCTGTCTGTCCCCTTCGTGTCATATGACAGAACAGAAGGAAAATGAGCTTGAAGAACCAGAACAAACAAGCTTGTGCACTTCTAGCATTCACATTAACTGAAATGAGGTCTTTAAATTCCAAAATAAGAACACTGTTTATACAGCTCTTTAGACACATCAGTTAGATTTGCATGAATTGTCATCATTTTGGGATCAGACACAAATTGTGCCTTCTGAGACAGCAGTTTGTGCCTTTGAGTCTTTACATTTTTGAGCGAAGATAATGTGTTAGGTGGCTCACCATGAAAATTTTTCTTGTACCACAGTGCTAATAGAAGACTACAGAGGCTATAGCCACACTATGTATAACCAGAAAAACTTCATAGTAGCAATGCTCACACTCTGCAGCAACACCCATAAAGGCCTCTCATACCTTACAAGATAAATATGACTAACCAAAAGTCTAAGACTAGAAGATATCTGTATCTGATCAGTGAGATGCCCTAAGACCAAGCAGATGTGTAATATTTCAAACCAAGGTACTAACTCAAGCTACTATTACCTAGAAACTTAAATTGATGTTGCTTTTCTTTTTATCTTTCACAGCAAATTTTCCTGACCTTCATTGAAAAAGCTGCTTTTCCAGTTGCTGCTTTCCAGAACCATAGCAAAGCCCCACTCACATTTTATAAATTGTTGAAAGTAATTTAAAAGTAATGAAAAACAAACACAAAGTTTTAGGTGAATGGCATGGCTTTATGTGCAAATAAAAAGGCAAAACAAAACAGTTAATACTTGCATTAGCAAGGAGAACAGTACATTCAGCTGCTGAAACTGGCCAAAGTTTTGACCTTCTGTGAAAAAGAAAAAAAAAAAACTTGACAAAACAGACTGAAGTTTTTCCCCAGAATGGGACTAGCAAGTGGGGAGAGAGAGAAGGAGAGAAAGAAAACTCCCTTTGGAATTTTAAGATCCTTTTCAAATATTCTAAAGTCTAAATGATAATTGAGGTATCCACATTTTGACAAAGACCCAGAGTGAAGAAACTCAAACACCTCCCACTCACCACAAAAACATGCCCCCACTAAAGTCTTTGGCCTTTGCTCTCAGCTTCTGTGTGAAGACACTACACAGATTCTTAGTTCAAGGAAGCTGCATTATGGATCCTGATACCCCTGAGGAACTACTCTAAACACAGTCTCTAATACATAAAAGTTCTTCAGCATTAGAAAAAATAACTCAGTGCTTAGAAAAGAATGACACACCTTACCTCCAGCCAAGGACCCCAAACTGAACAACTGAGGAACTGAAAAGGACAGAGGTCACAGCAAAGA